AACGATGTAAGTCATGGTGTCGTCCCTTCCCTGTGTACTCGATTGCAAGGTCTGTTGGCTCACACACAAACTTGGCAGTGTTACTACTTAATGAGCTTTGATCAGAACATGATTATCGACGCTACTACTGGAAGCATCGCTAGATTTGTCAACCACAGCTGTAACCCAAACTGCCGCATGATCAAGTGGATCGTGGCCGGGCAGCCCCGTATGGCGTTGTTCGCGGGCGACAAGCCCATCATGACGGGAGATGAGCTTACGTACGACTACAATTTCGATCCGTTCTCATCCAAGAATGTGCAGAAGTGTCTGTGCGGACAGCCAAACTGCCGTGGCTTCCTGGGACCAAAGCCCCGCGGGGTCAAGCCGGCCATCAAGACGGTTCTCAAGGACACTGTCAAGGCGGGCAAGCGAAAGCTGCAGGAATTCCTGGGCGGAGAGGAAGACAAGGCAAAGAAACCCAAGGCCAAGAAGCCCATGGTCAAGGCCATCACTAGCACAAGGGGAGCACTTGCCAACGTGGGCATGCAGCTCAAGCAGGGCGCTGCGACTGCTTTGAAGAAGACGGTAGGCTCGGTGGCTTCCAAAGCTAGAGGAAAGAAGACGAGCGGGGCCAGCCAGACTCCACTCAAGGGCCGGAAGTCGACAGGTACTATTATCAAGAAGAAGCTGACCACCACTACACGCGTCGTCAAGGCATACTCGAAGGGGACTCCTAGGAAGCAGGTCACCAGCCAGACGTCGGTGACGGCCAAGGTCACGAAAAAGACAGTGTCTGAGAAGGCAACTCCCAAATCGCCCGTGAAGAAGACGCCAACGAAGAAGGCTGTCGCTCAGAAGACGTACTCGAGCAAGGGCTCCAAGACTCCAGCTAGCGCCAAGGCGCGCAAGGTGATCAGCGGGGTCTCGTCTCCTCGCAAGGCGATCGAAATCACACGAGGAATTCAAACCATCACGGCAAGTACAGAGTAGAGGGCCAGTGCGTGGCACCTCTTGACTGGTGCGCGAGGGTTGATATAAGAACACGAATTAAGCAGCATGGCTTGTTGCATTATACTGGAGCTGGACGAAGAGAATGAAGGGCAATGGAGAGGAAGAGGATGGGATCTTCAAACCATCCTCGGGGCTTAATGTATCGAGTAAGATTATGGGGAGGACAAGACCGACTGCTGTCTCGAGCTACTTTTTTGGAAGCTGGGCGTGGGTCACTTGGCCTGTACTATCTGCGTCTTTGATCGTGTCTCGTTGCTTCACTTTGCTTGCGTTGGTTATTGGAGTTTGGGCGGTGGCGTCAAAGGAGGAGGGGAATGATTGTAGCTGTCCACGTGCTATATGTACATTATATTCATCGATAGCTAGGCTCTTAGCATACGTCTTTGACAATGGAGGCTGGCTCTATTTCGCTTTCCATTACGCTACGGGATCGTCTGCCTCACTTGTGCAGTCGTCTGTGCTTTCTTGTTTCGTCTCGACTTGATTACTGCCTACTGATTTAACAAAAAGTCGGTGAAGGTGGTTGGCAAATATTATGCGTCGCCGCCTTAGCTTGGCTCCGTGTTGTGCAACGGTGTCGTGAGGAGGTTGTGTTGAGGCGCAGGTCTGCCTTGCAGACGATCAGACCGGCTTGCGGAGTGAGCGCTTGTACCCGAAGACGAGGGCAGGGGAAAAAGGCAGACGAGACACGTGGGATTTGGATGACGAAAATGGCTGGCTCGAACCGAGGGCTTGGATATTTGTTGCACTTTGATGCACCTATGCTGCCTATTCCGCGACTGCGATCTGCGGTCCCACGCGGTGGCTTGTATCCATGATGCGAGTGAGCAACTCCGAGAATAATAGCCTGACAGGGAATAGGACCTCGCTCGGCCAGAATTGATAAAGTAGGTGCATAAATAGGGGAGAAGAAAGGAAGGCTTCGTTGTGATGGATTGATTCTGGAAACCTGCCTGTGCCCTCTTGGTTTTGCTGTGAGGTAGGCCAAGCGACTGACAATATAACATGGTACACAAGGCTCTTTTCACATGAGCCAGGGACTTATTTTCTAATTTTTTTTTTTAAAAAAAAAAACGAATAGAATAATCCCTAAAAAATTATAAATTACTCTGCAATATTTAGCGTGATATGTATTTATTAATGAGCCAATTCACTTGATATTGTGTTTGACATTCAATGCTGAAGATTCTGGGTGTGCGATTGTTTTATGCCAGGGGCCGACGAGGTTGTGTAGCGGCCACGCTGGGGTTGGCCAGTTGGCGCGCTCTGCCCGGTGTCCGCGCCCGGACTGAAAATCCCCTTGTGGAAAAGAATTTGCATAAAATGACTCGAATACAATTTTTTTTTAAAATACCAATTTTTTGGTTTTGGGCGTGGACATAGCAATGTTCGGACGGTGTCGTTTGGGGTTCCTTGGCCGTGTCTGCCTTGGGCGCGATGGGGTGCAGGGGGTCCCTTCTGGGAAAGGCGAAGACCAGTCAATCGGGCATGGGCCGGAGCCATGTGGCCGGTTGTTGGTGCCCGGAGTGCGGCTATGCGCGTGACGGTTGGCGCAGCTGGGTAAAAAAGGGAAAGGAAAAGGACATCGGGAGGGTGCAGGGGGCTTTTGTTCAATTGGGAAGTGAAGAAGTGTATTATGCATGCAGGGCAGACTTGGGGGTGGTGATTGGCTGGCTGGACCTCACCTGGTTGGACGTCACTTGGTTGATGGGGGATTCTTTGCAGCAAATAGGAAATTTATTCGAATGACTAGCAATTGGCTAGACTAAGATGACTCTATAATGAAAAAATAAAGACAAAAGCAAAGGAAGTATCGCTTGCGCTACAAGGGGGGAGCCATTCTAGAGATAATGGGTAGAAAAGCAAACTAATACACTGACAAGAAACTGGGCGCCCCCCATCTATTCTATAGTCCTTCCGTCCTCCCGTCTATCCGAATTCCTGACAGCCTCGACCAGCTGTAGTACAGCTGAGATTCGAGACGTCTAAACTAAGCGCGCGAGCAGTGAAGCTGCGAGCTTGGGTGCGCCATGGCCAAATCAATTGCCATGGCTGGGACTGTATTGAATATCCACCAAAGAAAGAGCTGAACTCCCGATATGAGCAGGGCCACTAAAGGGAGCTGCGATGAGAGCTAAAAGTTCAAGGAGGAGAAAAAGAAGCAAAGAAGATTGATGATATAAAAAACAAAATCAAGAAGAAAAGGTAGGTCGAGACACCAGCTCGAGTTGTGTTGCTTGGAAGCTTCATCCAAGATGAGAATACCACGGGAAAAAAAACAGTCCTTCTTGCAGAGAAGCATTCAGGCTTCTGCGTGGCGTGGATGGTTGGCCATCGATGCTCGAGGCAGCCAGTGGGAAGAGCGAGTGCCTGGCTATTTCGGTGGCTGAGGAGTATAGATGTAGCAATTTGAACATCGCGTGTGGCTGCAGATAGAGCATCCTACATCGACTGCGACGCTTAGGCCGGCTGTTCCACATTCTGAGCAAGACCAGTTCATGTTGACTGTGAATAAAGAAACGTTGAGATATTGATGATCGAGTGACACCAGGAGACAGTGTTAAGAGGTTATTGTATGAGTCGCGTGAGCTTGATTGTTGTGATTGTTACGACACATGGGAACAACGTGAGAGTATATATAGATCGCAAAGCAAGCAACTCGGCACAAAAGAGCAGGCACGGAATAGGAGACACACAATCTCTCCCGAAAGTCGAGGCGCAGAACCTGTGGGTTTGCTGGCGAGTGTGACTTACATTTGTGTAAGAAAGAAGCCAGGCGGGTGGTTGGCCAAGGAAGAAGCAAGGTCCTCGAATGAAATGCCAGAGTCCATGCTCAGAAATGCGATCCCCGTCTGTGTTGGGCCACTCTTGCCGACGTTGAAGTCGGTCTCGCCCGGAAGAGACCCTCGTGATTCTTCTGGGGACCAGTCAAGGCCGCAGAGCAAGGACTGCCGGCTGTGTCTAGCAACAGGAGCGGCAGCATTGCCCTGGTCCCCTGGTCATTCGGTATATGACTGGCACTGACAACATTAGCAGAGATGTAGGGACCCAGAGGGAGCTGTGCTACTGGCCCGGGAATCATGGCCAAGTTGCATCGGCGACATGCTTGCCTCATAGCCGTTGGTTCCCCTAAAGATGGGTCGAACCGGAGACTACCTTACCTCCAGGCCTAAGCAGCTTGGGATTGGCCCTGTCCACAGAGAGGGCAATCAACGGGCAGCCATGGGGACACCAACTGAGCACTGGACACCGTCAGTAACAAGCACAGGCAGGGGAGGGGGTAGAGCCAAGGTCCATGCGGCATCGGAGGGGATATGACGTTTGCGAGAGGAGCCGACGGCACAAAAGTTTGGGGCAAGCTGCTAACAGCGACGCTGGGCACGTAGGTCCTTTGGAGCTGGTGCTACTGGAGAAGAAAGAGTGATAGAGGATGGGACCCGATGAAATAATGGCTGTGCAGAGGGCTCTGATATCCTTCTGCTATGTAGCACACAACAGCCTCGCTCGCCTTGTACTTGGCTCCGATCTGAGGCTCTGCTCACGTGTGCCGCTTCCTGCTGTGCAATGGAATATCAAGAGAAGGACTGAGGGCACCCATGTCAGGTAAGATAAGCATGAAAGCGACCAAGTCTGGCTCAATTGTGCCGAAGTCCAGTGGGGAAGTCGCGCTTGCACCGAGAAAATTTGAATATCCTGTGCGACAGAATGAAATGGAAGCCTGGGCCGATACCTTGCTTGCAAGCAAGCAAACGGACAAACAAAGGGGACCAAGCGGCGGAGCCATTCATCCTTTGAACGAGTGGCATGTCCGGTGTTCGTTTTCTTCGCTGGTCGGGAGACAGAAGCAGGGGAGAAAAGGAAAAGGAAAGGTAATCGGACAGAGAAGCATCGCCATACCGGTTGGTCCATTGCCTCAGCCACTGAGACTGGGCAGATCAGACGTTGTAAGGGGACACAGAATACCAGACCGAGGGACCGGCCAATGAGTCCCACGGGCAGTCTGGACGATGCTGGCTTTCGAGTGGGCGTGGAGTGCGCCCAATGGCAATCCCATGACCACCGCGCTCGCCGTGATGGTCGGTCGGCCGCATGAAGGCCGGTTCCACCAGAATGAAGATATCACCACAGCCCACAGCGGACCAACAACCAGCGGGTTATGTCATCAACGACGGGGCCGGCGCCCGTGTCTGGGTCGGCGAGCATCCTCTTGCTCCTGATTCTGCTCCTGCCCCCAATCCTGATCCTGATCCTGCACCAGGGCCAATGGCTGGGAACACCGCAGCTGTCGCTGGGCAGGATAAGAAAAGACGAACCAAGCACGGCAAGGAGAGGAATTGAAGTGAAGACAAGGCAAGGCGAGACGAGAGAATGGTTGCAAATGGCCGGGAGAGGGGCAGCGTCTTATATCCTAGATTTGGCCGTTGTTGAGGCTCAAAAGGCAGAAACAAAGTGCACCTCGACTTCCGGCTTGGCTTTCGCCTGATGCAGAAGCGGCTCTCTGCTTGATCTGGCCCTCATTCGTCGCCGGACGGGTGCCAAGCGCTGTGCCAGCACGTCTTGCAGCAAAGTGCAGCTCTGTCGGTCATCTGGCGGTGCGCGCCTGTGCACTTGGGCGCCCGGGCAATTGCGAATGTGCAACACACAGAATACGTCGAGTTCGGCTGCAATAATAAATGTGCAGGTCGTGATGCCGTTTGGGCACAAACGATTCGCAGTACTTTCACTCACACCGTGTTTTGGTACAGCGGCATGTCCCTGCTAACAGAGCTCTCTGAGGCACCGAGCCATCACCTGCAACATGCTGGAAAAGGCGGATGGACAGGCTGATGGATGACCTCACTGTAGACACACTGTGCATCTCCACTTAGATACCGCAAGCTGTACAGTGCGTAATCTCGCAATCGGCACATGCAATCCCCCTCTACGCAAACAGGGCAAAGCACGAAAACAATCGAGTCCGTCAGCTTGCATAAGCTCCTCGCCAGCACAACACATCGTCGCAGGAAGCATTGCTACCGCCAGCGACGCACCGCGACCCGATCCCCTTCGATTCGACTTGCCGCCCAGCCACCCACCGACCAAGTCCGACTCGTGCCGTCCCAAACGTCCGCCAACCACCATGTCGCGATGACACAGCCGGGTCCCAGCCGTGTCGCAACCCGCTGGGCGGTTCGCATCATTCCATGCTTCATCGTCGCTGCCTTTGCGTTTGCTAAATACGCTGTCATCGCTCACCTCTGTGGTACGTTCGGATGTCTACGCCTTTGTGCCACCTTCCACACCCACCACTGTCCTGCGTTCAGCCGACTCGCTCGCCCCTCACTTCCCTCCCCTTTCCCTCGTGCCTTCGTCGCATCGTGCCGCTGCTAACCAACTTCCTCGCCCGCCGCAGTCGACTATCTGTATCGCCAGCACCACGAGCACGGTCTTGCCATTGCTTTGATTGTCCTGTACTTTGTCTTCTTCCTCCTCGCCCTTGCCGCCTACGTGAGAACAGTATACACGACACAGACCGACCCGGGCCTTGTCCCATGGTCCGAGCGACGACAACGAGTCCACAATGAACGCAAGGCCCTCCCTCACAAGGAGAGGGAAGACCTCGAATCGCAGTCATGGTCTACGCCCGATCTGAGCCCCGATAGCCCCGGCCTCGAGTCCTTCTATACCAAGACCATGTTCATCTGTGAACCGGACGGCCGCCCTAGGTGGTGCTCCCTCTGTTGGAGCTGGAAGCCTGACCGTTCCCACCATTCGAGCGAGCTGGGTCGTTGTGTCCGCAAGATGGACCATCTCTGCCCCTGGGTTGGTGGAATGGTCTCCGAGACTTGTAAGACAACCTGCAAAACTGCCCTCCGAAGCATTGCCAGCCTTCATCGAGGAATCTGAGCTAACATGAGTCTCCCAAGCTTTCAACTTCTTCGCCCAATTCACCTACTGGGTCTCCATGTACCTAGCCGTCTGCGTTGCGACCGCAGGATACTGTCTGCACAAGCAAATCCAGGCCTTGGACCCGCTGGACTGGCGCCCAGTCGTCATTCTTGCCCTCTCCGGGCTGTTCGGTCTTTTCGCCTTTGGCATGTCCATGACATCCACGCGCTACATTGTGGAGAATATTACGAATATCGATGTGTTTAAGAAGAGGGCAGTACATTACATTGCTATCCGCGTCCCTCGTGGGACTCCGTCGACAGCCGGCTACCAAACAGTCACCTTCCCGCTCCCCGGTCCTCCCGGTACAGAGCCGCACTCCCCAGCGAATGGATTCACACCATCGAGTCGAGACCGGCAGGCCGTACGGACATTTGCGATTGTCAAGACAGAGCCCGGGGAGAACCCATTCGATCTGGGCTATTGGCGCAACTTCAAGGCAGTCATGGGAAACAACATCTTCGAATGGCTTCTACCCATCAAGCATTCCCCCTGTTGCAACCACGACAACCCGGAGAGCTTCTACGAGTTTGGGTCGCTCATCGAGGAGCTCAAGGAGCGTCATGGGCTGCCACAAGGACATCGACGGCGCCACTCTCGAGCTGATGAGGTAGAGATGGTCGAGAGAAGGCCCACCCGAGATTAATGTTCGCATCCTGATCGTCATCTGCGTTAGTGCATCTCTCGCTTATGTCTCATCTGCCCGTACCTTTCCTTTTCCTCTCCGCCTCGGCTTCGTGATTTGATTTGTCTTGGGACGCTTGTATGGAGTCTTGGAGTTGACACATGTGACGTGATAATACCCGTGATTGTCGAAATGGAAAAGCGAGCACACACACATATATCTTTCCTTTACATTATATTCTGGCTTTTAGGTTGCCTCCTTTGGTTTTCCATAGATTTATCCGAGCTCGGGAGCACGCAATACCCTCTCTTGGCATTTAATACACTGACTAATTCATCAAAACCCTTTCGTCCGCACAACATGACGGTGGTCACAGCTACAGCAATGGTAACCATCACAGTCACTCGCTTGATCTTCTCAGCAACCTTCATGGATCGCCTTTTCACGAAGCCGTAGATGAACGACGGCGCAGGGATCAAAATAAGAAACTCCCCACCATGCAACTAACAGATGGAGTCACCACATCTTGGCAGGGATCCTCTAAATCCCGCGGCTGATCGTCTCAGGGAGGGGTTGCAGCCGGCTCCTTTCTTTCCCCCTTCCTACATCCATCTGCACATGCTAGAGCCGACTAGACGCGGCAGAACAACCCCGGCGCCATGTCAGGAAAGCATCATGAGCACGTCCATGCCGTCGTCCTTGATAATCTCGACTCCCAAGGCGTCGGCGAGACGAGCAGCAGCTCCAACAACCCTATCGCCGCCACCGAGACACATCACCGAGCGACCATCCCTCCTCCCGCTGGAAAAGACATCGAGTTCCAACACAATGTCTCCGACCCGTTGAATCTCTCAGCCAGCCTCAAGCTCGACTCCGAAATCAAGGCCAACACTTCGCGCAAGCGTGTTGGGCTCCGAAAGGGTAACGGCCTGGAGAAATACTACGAGAGTCAGAACCAGAGCATCCATGCCATGCTCAAGTCGGTCGACGAGCACGAGCAGGACAAGCTTGATGACCACGGCAAGAACACCTTCCTGCACGCCCTCTGCGTCAAGGGTTCTCTGATCGCCAATATTTTCCTCTCTGGACTGCAGATGTACGGTGCTGTTAGCTCCGGGTCCCTCTCTCTGTTCACCACCCTGGCTGATTCCATCTTCGACCCCTTCTCCGGCATTATGCTTTACATGGCCCACCGCGCCGTTAACAAGGTCGATGCGCGCAAGTATCCCTCTGGGCGTGCGCGGATCTCCACGGCCGGGAACATCGTCTTCTCTTTCGTCATGTTCTCCGTCTCCCTGGTCCTGATCGTCATGTCAGCCCGCGACCTGGCAGCCGACAAGGAAGAAGAGACGAACAAGTTCCACCTCCCCTCGGTCCTTGCCGTCGCTGGTGCTTTTGCGACCAAGCTTGCCCTGTTCTTCCTCTGCTGGACCGTCAAGGATACCTACTCCCAGGTGGATATCCTGTGGAGGGACCACCGCAACGACCTGTTCATCAACGGCTTCGGTATTCTCACCTCTGTCGGAGGCAGCAAGCTCAAGTGGTGGATCGATCCCACCGGCGCCATTGTTCTGTCGCTTCTCATCTCTGGGCTCTGGCTGCACACCGCCTACGACGAGTTCCAGCTGCTCATCGGCGTCACGGCTGATCGCGAGGTCCTCCAACTCATCACCTACATCTGTGAGTTCTACAGTCCACGAAACTATCAGATTTATGTGACTCGCTAACCTTTGGCTCGGAAGCCATGACACACTCGCCCTTGATTGAGCGGATCGACACCGTCCGCGCGTACTACAGCGGCCCTCGCATTGTCACCGAGGTGGACATCGTCCTCGACCGGAACGAGCGTGTCGAGGTCGCCCACGACGTCGCCGAGGAGCTCCAGATCAAGCTCGAGAAGCTCCCCTCGATTGAGCGGGCGTTTGTCCACATTGACTACGAGACTAGTCACAAGCCGGTGAGCTCCCTCTCCCCCGATACCCCGAACCACGTTTCTTTACCTTACCGTTCTCTTCCTCTCTTCTTTATCTAGGAACATCAGCTCAAGAAGCTACTGTAAATCCCCGGGCTAGATTCAAGGCTACCCATCTGATGGCAGGGTAGGACCTTGCACGGCGATGAGGAGCAGTACCACCAAGCTTTTTGGAGAGTCTTCTTGGGAAAACTCCTCTCGCCACAGCGAATTGGTGGAAATGAGCGGAGAAGCAGTTATCATGGTGACATCGCCACGTCCAATATCAACCAAAGTAGATTTGATCAACCGTAGGGACTGGGGGACTGCCAGTCCGTAGTGCAGGATGCAACCTGGAGTGTTGCATTTGCATGGTAGGCTCGTTCGATCCAACATCATAGACAACGCAACCATCCTTCGCTTCTTTCTTGGCTTTCTCAAAACGTGGTGAACCACCGTTTCATTCTCCTATCGTCCCACATCCACATACCCGTGCCAGTCCACAGATACGCCCCCTCCCTCACATCCCCTTCAAGTGCTCTACTCAACGGTCTGCCCCAGCCGCGACTGCATCGCGCAAGCAAGGCCGTATGTTGCCGCGCCCATCTCGAGAGACCGAAGCGGCCGGTCTGCTTAGCAAGCCAACGGCAGCAATGTCTGTATGCTGACCAACACACCAACTGTACACCTCCACAGCGTTTGTATCATGAAAGGCTCTTCTGTAGGCAGCGGCGGTCAGAGCGGAAACCCTTATCCGACGTCTCTCGGCCGTCCGGAAGGTAGCATCTCGTCGTAACATGACAGATGCAGCTCGCCACTGCATACAGGTGTGCG